AGGCCCATCATATCTCACTCTGCAAACAAACCATATGAGAATGAAGAGTATGGAGGGAAGCTGCATGAACGTAAATGGATCAGAAAATCTTTCATTTCTCTCACAAAAGCTCAAAGACATACTGGAGAGATGGCTCATACATGGAAACGATGTAGTAAAACCTTCATTAACCTTAAAGTACACAAACAAACTCATACAGGAAAGAAGCCCTATCAATGTAAACAATGTGGAAAAACGTTTACTACTTACTCTTGCYTTCATATACATGAACGAACTCATACTGGAAAGAAGCCCTATGAATGTAAACAATGTGGGAAAGCCTTTTGTAGTTCCTCTTACCTTCAAATACATAAACGAACTCATACTGGAGAGAGGCCCTATGAATGTAAAATATGCGGAAAAGCCTTTGCTTCAACCAATCACCTTCACTCACATGAAGGAACTCATACCAGAAAGAAGCCCTATGAATGTAAACAATGTGGGAAACCCTACACTAGGTCCGCTTACCTTCATAAGCATGAACGAAATCATASTGGAAAGAAGTCCTATGAATGTAAACAATGTGGGAAAGTCTTTCCCTGGTCCTCTTACCTTCAAATACATGAACGAACTCATACTGGAGAGAAGCCCTATGAATGTAAACAATGTGGAAAAGCCTTCACTACGTCGTCTAACCTTCAAATTCATAATCGAATTCACACTGGAGAGAAGCCCTATCARTGTAAGCAGTGTGGCAAAGCCTTCACTCAGTCCAATCAACTTCACTCACATGAACAAACCCATACTGGAAAGAAGCCCTATGAGTGTAAACAATGTGGAAAAGCCTTCAGTTGTTCCTCTTACCTTCAAATACATAAACGAACTCATACTGGAGAGAGGCCCTATGAATGTAAAATATGCGGAAAAGCCTTTGCTTCATCCAGTCACCTTCACTCACATGAASGAASTCATACMRGAAAGAAGCCCTATGAGTGTAAACAATGTGGGAATGCCTACTCTAGGTCCTCTTACCTTCATATACATGAACGAATTCATACTGGAGAGAAGCCCTATGCATGTAAACAATGTGGAAAAGCCTTCACTACGTSGTCTAACCTTCAAATACATAATCGAATTCACACTGGAGAGAAGCCCTATGAATGTAAGCAGTGTGGCAAAGCATTCGCTCAGTCCATTCAACTTCACTCACATRAACATACTCATACTGGAAAGAAGCCCTATGAGTGTAAACAATGTGGAAAAGCCTTTTTTAGTTCCTCTTACCTTCAAATACATAAACGAACTCATACTGGAGAGAAGCCCTATAAATGTAAGCAKTGTGGAAAAGCCTTCATTGCTTCCCTTTACCTTCAGGTACATGAACGAACTCATACTGGAGAGAAGCCCTATGAGTGTGAACAATGTGGAAAAGCCTTTGCTTCCTCCAGTGACCTTCACTCACATGAACGAACTCATACAGGAAAAAAACCCTATGAGTGTAAACAATGTGGGAAAGCCTTCACTAGGTCCTCTTACCTTCAAATACATAAACGAACTCATACTGGAGAGAAGCCTTATGAATGTAAACAATGTGGAAAAGCCTTTACTACAACATCTAACCTTCAAATGCATAATCGAATTCACACTGGAGAGAAGCCCTATGAATGTAAGCAGTGTGGCAAAGCCTTCACTCAGTCCATTCAACTTCACATACATGAACATACTCATACTGGAAAGAAGCCTTATAAATGTAAACAATGTGGAAAAGCCTTTTGTAGTTCCTCTTACCTTAATAGACATAAACGAATTCATACTGGAGAGAAGCCCTATGAATGTAAGCAGTGTGGGAAAGCCTTCACTAGGTCCTCTTCCCTTCAAACACATAAACGAACTCATGCTAGAGAGAAGCCCAATGAACATAAGCAATGTGGTTGACCTTCACTTAGTCCAGTCTCCTTTACTTAYATGAATAAACTCATACTGGGAATAAGCCCTTTTACTACTTCATCTTACTTTCAAAAACATAAATGAACTTATACTAGAGACAAGCCCTATGATTGTAAGTCGTGTGGGAAAGCCTTTGCTAATTCATCTAGCCTTCAAGTACATGATTGAACTCTTAATGGACATAAGTTTTGTTGTGCTTTGGATTTAAGGTTTTCACTAAAAGGTTAAATGTGAAACAGTGCAAGAAGTTTCAGAGGAGAAATGATTTTCTCATGAGAATCTTAAACCAATCAGTCCATTAATCCCCTGACAGGGATTCACTGAGTGGTAGGGAGTGGCTGGAGGAGGTGGGAATTGGCAAGGCTTTGGAGTATATATTTGTATCTGGCCAGTGAAGACYTCTCAGTCTGCCTCCTGATCATCATGTGAGCTGCTTTCCTTTGTCACACTCTTCCATCATGATGTTCTTCTGCCTTACCTCAAGCCTTTGAGGAATGGAGACTGCTGTCTGAATTGACCCCTTAAATAAACTTTTCCTGCCCTACTATTGTACTGGTTGATTCTTTTAATCATAGAGTGAAAAAGATGACTAAAACAAATTTGTACCAAGAGTGAGGTCGTTGTTGTTAGTAACCTGATGATATATTTCATRAGCATTTGTAGCATTTTGGAATAGGATGGAGGAATTTTGAGATCTTTAGCATTTCAAGCTGGAAATTGTATAGGTTGTTGTAAGGGGAGCTTAATGGCCGGTAATGGTGGGAGCTCAATAAGACTGTGGACAGTGAAGATAGGGCTCAAGTGTGTTTAGAGGAAAAGGATGACACTACTGGTGATTGGACTAGAGGTCATTCCTGTTATGCTCTGGCTAAGAAGTTGTCTGCATTTTACCCTTGTCATGAGTCTTTCTGTGAGGCTCGTTTTAAAAGTGATGGACTTCTTAATCTGGCAGAAKAAATTTCTATGTAGCATAGCTTTCTGGTTGTGGCATGGATATTGCTGGCAGCTTTTAGCCAAATTTATTGTAGTAAGGAGCAGAAAGCAGAACAGAAAGATTTGGAAAATGTGGACTTGAACAAAACAGGGACTAAGAAAGTTGCAGTTGTTAAAGACATTACTGCCA